GTGAGCAGATTCAGACTTTTGAAAATTGGTGGAGTATGCTGGCAGGAGTGGGAATTTGTTATCATTCTTACTGCTGCCTTTTGCTGGGTTATTAGAGGTCTTGGGTGATTGGATGTTGTTGATCCCCATGCACAAATTCCATATGTAAGATGAATGGTACAGTGCCAGGAGAGCTGATTGTGGAACATAGTACCTTATCTTTGATAGTATGCCTACAGTCTTGGAGATTTTCTTGGTGATTTGTTGTATATGTGTCTGGAACTTAAGGCTGCCTATAAGGTGGATACCTAGGAATTTTCCCTCTATAAGTCTTGTGACTGATGATCCGTTTAGCGTTATGTTAATTGGATCATTTGCTGCTTTGTTTCCAAACTGAATGAAATAGGTTTTATCAGTATTCAGGGTAAATTTATTTGTCATCATCCAGGCAGATATTTTCTGCAATTCGGCATTGACTGTATTTTGCTAGTATGACTGTGTTTAGGTGGGAAAAGACATATTTAGTGTCTTTCTTCATTCTTTCAACACAATGGCCGTATCCCACTGAGGCGGGGTGGCCCAAAAGGAAAAACAAAAGTTTCTCCTTTCACATTTAGTAATATATACAGGAGAAGGGGTTACTAGCCCCTTGCTCCTGGCATTTTAGTTGCCTCTTACAACACGCCTAGCTTATGGAGGAAGAATTCTGTTCCACTTCCCCCTGGAGATAAGAGGAAATAAACAAGAAAAAGAACTAGAAAGAAAATAGAAGAAAACCCAGAGGGGTGTGTATATATGTGCTTGTACATGTAGGTGTAGTGTGACCTAAGTGTAAGTAGAAGTAGCAAGACATACCTGAAATCTTGCATGTTCATGAGACAGAAAAAAAGGACACCAGCAATCCTACCATCAAGTAAAACAATTACAGGCTTTCGTTTTACACTCACTAGGCAGGATGGTAGTACCTCCCTGGGCGGTTGCTGTTTACCAACCTACTACCTATATATGTAGTGTCAATCTGCAAATAATATAGGTTTGAGTAGCTGTGATGTATTCGGTAGATCATTGATGTAGATGAGAAAGAGGAGTGGTCCAAGGACACTTCCTTGTGGGATTCCTACTGTGATTGGTTGGATGGAAGAGTTTGCACCATTTGCACACACATATTGAGTTCTGTTACTAAGGTATGATTTTAGGTAGTTGAGGGAGTGGCCTCTGATCCCATAGTGCATTAGTTTGGAGTACAGCAATTCATAGTGGACTGTATCGAAAGTTTACGTAAATCATTGAAAATGCCCAGCGGGACTTCTTTCTTTTTGAGTGCGATATATATTAGTTCTAGCATGTGTATGACAGCATCATTTGTGCTTTTATTATTCCCGAATCCAAACTGACAAGGGTTTAATATGCTGTGTGAGACGAGGTAGGAATAGATCCATCTGTGAATTAATTTTTCAAAGATTTTAGAGAGCAGTGTTAAGTTAGATATTGGTCTACAGTTATTCAAGTCAGCTTGGTCACCTCGTTTGTGGATTGGAGTGACTCTCGCTGTTTCGAGGATTGTTGGGAAGGTAGATGATTCAATGGATTTGTTAAAGAGTTTTGCAATAATTGGTGACAATACTTGAGAAGCTTTTTTGTACATAAAAACAGGCAAGTTGTTTATGTCTCCTGCCTTGTTTTTAAGGGTATTTATGATGAGCGTAACTTCTGTTGGGTTGGTTGGAGCTAGGAATAGCGAATTTGGGTAGGTACCTATGAGGTAGTCTGTTGGACAGGTGTTTGCGCTTGGTATTTTGTTCGCTAGATTTTTTCCTATGGTGGAGAAGAAAACATTGAGTCTGTTTGCTGTTTCAGTTGGTGTGAGTAGGAGTTCATCTGATTCTGTTAGTTTGATTGCTTTGTTTTTGGATAACTTTTTAGTACAAAGAATTTCAGATAGAGTTTTCCAGGTTTTTTTCATATCACCTTTGATGTTATGTAATCTATTTTCACAATACAATTTTTTAGATTTTCTTATCAGGCTGGTAAGAGCTGACAAGTAACGTTTAGACTGTTCTCTAGTTATTTGACCCATTCTATACTGTTTTTCATATTTATGCTTTGCGTTAATGGATTTGAGGATGCTGGGTGTTAGCCAGGGATTATTCAGTCTCTTTGCTGTGATCTGTTTAGTTTTTTGGGGGCAATGTCTGTTCTGGAGGCTTTGGGCTTTTTTTTAGAAAATTATATATGCATTCATTCATATCTGTATATGTTTCGAGCTCATTTTGCCAGTCGATGTTATTAATAGCTGCTATAAAGTTGTTAATTGCTGTCTCGTTATGTAGTCTGAAGGTTACTTTAGTAATGTCTTGTGGCAGTTTGCCCAGATTAGTTATGAGAAAGGTTGGGTAGTGGTCTGTAGTGTTGTCTGTGATTATGCCTGATTTTAAAGGGGATATGGTGTTTGTCCAGATGTGGTCTTTTAAGGAGATACTTGTCTCAGTGATTCTTGTAGGTTTAGATATTGCTGGTAGCAACAGGCAGTTACTCATTGTGTTTGTGAATTCAGTTACTTGTGGGTCCTCGTCATGTAGTATGTTTATGTTGAAATCTCCTGTTAGTAGTAGGTGGTTTTCATTCATGTGTGCATCAGTAATCATATTTCCTAGTTTTTCACTAGTGGTAAATGTTTGACTGTGGTACTCTGTAGATGTTTATAACTGTGAGGGGTTTTTGCAGGTCTTTTGATTTAAATTTGGCTATGATATATTCTCCATGTTTGTCCCGTGTGCAGATTTATTAATACATTCAAGTTGATTTGAGTAGTATATAGCAGTTCCTCCCCCTTGCTGGTTTGTTCTAGTTGGGTATGGCCATGTAGCCAGGAATTGTATAGACATCTGTAATATCAGGCTTAAGCCAGGTTTCTGTGAGTGTGATGATTGATATATTGGAATTATGGGAATTGAGTAATGCAGTGAGGTTGTCATAATGTTTGTTCAAGGATCTGACATTGTAGTTAAAGATGGTTATGTTATTGTTTGCACTGAGTAATGTCTTTGCTTGGTCTGCTGTATAGTAATTACAGTTGCTGTTTGATTCGTGTAATTCATTTAGTAAAAAGTTTACATCAGAAGTGTTGCTGATATACCTTTTTTCCTATTTTTCATATTATTTTATATAATATTTATGTTCTGATAATTACAATTTAATTGTTTTACATGATGGTAGGATTGCTGGTGTCTTTTTTTTTGTCTCATACACATGCAAGATTTCAGGTACGTCTGGATACTTCTACTTACACTTAGGTCACACTACGCATACATGTACAAGCATATATATACACACCCCTTTGGGTTTTCTTCTATTTTCTTTCTAGTTCTTGTTCTTGTTTATTTCCTCTTACCTCCATGGGGAAGTGGAACAGAATTCTTCCTCCGTAAGCCATGTGTGTTGTAAGAGGCGACTAAAATGCCGGGAGCAAGGGGCTAGTAACCCCTTCTCCTGTATATATTACTAAATGTAAAAGGAGAAACTTTCATGTTTCCTTTTGGGCCACCCCGCCTCGGTGGAATACAGCCGGAGTGTTGAAAGAAAGAAGAATTACAATTTATAGTAGTTTTTGTCATTTCATAACCAATCTTTGTTCTGACACTAGTACTCAAATTGTCAAAACACACTGACAGGTGGATATTTACACCTGCCTTGGCCATTTACTATTGTCTTGGAATATATACAAAGTATTTATAGGTCCCAGCAATGTTTTGGATATGTGGAAGTATATAAGAAGAAGAAGAAGAAGAAGAAGAAGAAGAAAGACGTAATAATAAGTTCCCTTGAAGCATAAAAAACAAGCCTCAGTCCACCCCTGACAGTGATGTGATAAGATGAGATAACATTAGATAACAACTGACATTTGATGAGCATATGCAAGGGTGCAGTGATAAGACTTGATAAGATAAGATTAGAGGTGACATCTGATGAGCATCGGCACTCGCTTTGTTTTCGCTGGTATAAAAACATGTGTCTGTCTATTTGTATGTCTGTCAAGCTGCCTGTCTGTCTGTCTATCCGTCTAGCTCTGTCTCAGAGAGCCACAAGACAGCGTTACACTATGTATACTTCTATTTATATGTACCTGTGAGACAGAGATAGACAGAAACAGAGACAAAGATAGAGACAGATAGACAGACAGATAGATAGACATATATACAGACAAACAAATGGAGCCAGGCCGGTCGCGCAGCAGCCAGCCAGCCTGCTGAACAGGTATTACATTCCAGAATTGTTTCTATTTACTTAGGGCATAGGGTGTTGCACAAATGTTGCACATGGGTTATTATTGAGGTTTTTTTAATATTTTCTCAACCACTTATGGCCACATCCACCTCAAAGCCACTAAACTCGGGGTCAACATCACTTTCCTCTTAAAATGGGAGAGTTAATACTACATGAAATAAGTGAATCCCAGGTGTTTGCTGCTCTGTTTGCTCTAGCTGGCACTCCTTTGAACTGGTGCTCCCACAAGGTACTAAGTGGTCCCAGATTTTTTTAATACAGTGCACACTAAGTGTTATGACCCATTCTATGCTGACAAGGCATCTCAGGCCAATCATGCCATATTTGAAGGCAGGAAAAATAAAACATTTATATATGTTTGGGGCACTAGCAGTAAGAACGCATATATACGTTTGGACCGTTTATAGGTTAAAGAATGCCTCTTCTAATCAATTTCAAACTTATAATGCTGATGCACTTTGTTGGAATGATAATACACTTGAAGTGTAAAACAGGAAGCATAGAAAGAAGAGAGATCAATGAATGCCACAAGGTATGACACCACAGATTGAAGGTATGTAACAGACATGCTAATACTGTATTTATTACTACACTACATTAAAAATGCACTAACTTTCTAGGGATCATTCAGTGCCGAGAACTATTATTGAAACTGTGCCTTAGTAACAGGTAAATTTTATTACAGAATTGTGTTTTAGTGTACTCAGCATTTTGTGACATTAAATAAAACAATGAAACAATAAAACAATAAATTTATTGATATGTAATATTGAGATGTTTGAGGACATCAACAATGTGAAGAGTGATACACAGTACACCCAACTGACTTCCATCATCAGCACTCTCTACTGTTAACTCTGCATCATGTAAATCTTGCCCTTTTTTCAGTAGTTCATGGAGATTCACAAAAGCATACCTGCAACATGAAAGGAAAAAACTTTTATTTCAGGATAAATTAAAGAAAAAATATTAAATGAATGACTTTTATTACAATACCTGGACAAAATTCAGCAATCAGCACAAAAATATCTTACAAGGTACATCATGTGACTGAAATATTTTTCAAAATGTTACAATGGACTTGAAGGTTATAACTACCCATGAAAAACTGAACCCTCGGTACAGGTTGGCCATCACTAATCCGGCATCACTGGGACCTATAGTGTCCCGCATTAGTGAGTTTGCTGGATTATAGGGGAGAGACTCTGCTACATCTTCCTCGTTTTCATCAATGCTTTCTCCTCCACTGGCTTGCTGCTGTGAATTTACAACCATCTGCACACTTTCTGAGTCAGTGTAATTATGAAATTTGAAATTATGCTAGCCGAAAATTAGTGCCGGATTACTGATGGAACCAGATAACTGATTACCGGATTAGTGATGGCCAACCTGTATTACACTTACCATCCGACTTACGACCTGCTCAACATACGGCCATTTGACTTACGACCGTGTTTTGTATGCCAAATTTCTGGGAAATAAACAACTGTTTGTGTTGTACACAAGTGTTTATCCTAAACCTTACAGTATAAAATACAGTACTAACAGCATAAAAAGTAAAGTAAAAAATGAAATACTAAAATAAAACAATAAAATAAAGTCATTACAAAAATGTGATGTTGATATTCAGTAGTAAGGTTCGACTTACGTCCATTTCAACTTACGATTGGTTTGTCGGAACTGAACTCGGTCGTAAGTTGGATGGTACCTGTATTAGGTTTCATTTATGCAAAAGGGATAACACATCATTTTAAATGACAATATATTTATACAACATCGTATAACTAATCAATATCACACATAAAATATTCAAATAAATCAGGTTGCACAAGTTCATGATAACTGGGATGGTGAGTAAAGGTATTTTGGAGTCTCTGATATAGTGTACATGTACTTGAATGGAATCAATAAAAAATGCTTCCTAGGCAGTAGGTTGGTAGACAGAAACTGCCCAGGGAGGTACTATTGCCCCGCCAAGTGAGTGTAAAATGAAAGCCTGTAATTGTTTTGCATGATGGTAGGGTTGTTGGTGTCTTATTTCTGTCTCATAAACATGCAAGATTACAGGTATGTCTTGCTACTTCTACTTACACTTAGGTCGCACTACACATGCATGTACAAGCATATATATACACACCCCTCTGTGTTTTTCTTCTATTTTCTTACTAGTTCTTGCTCTTGTTAATTTCCTCTTATCTCCATGGGGAAGTGGAACAGAATTCTTCCTCCATAAGCTATGTGTGTCATAAAAGGCAGCTATAATGCCGGCAGCAAGGGGCTGGTAACCCCTTCTCTTGTATACATTACTAAATTAAAGAGAGAAACTTTTGTTTTTCTTTTTGGGCCACCCTGTTCAGTGGGATATGGCCAGTTTGTTGAAAGAAGAAAAAAATACTTCAGCAATTTTAGTTAATAATCATGCAAAGAGTATGTAACCTTTATTCAGCGCATGTACACACCCTCAATGAAAGGCTACCTCCCCAACCAGCGAACCGGGTGCTAAGGGTTGGACGATGGGGCCCCATCATCAGATCAGTATCTAGGTTCAGCCAATGAGAAGGTGGGTCCGGCAGTTGTGGAGGTGGCATGGTCACCACTCATGTTTCCACCCTTGTCATTTCCATTTTAGAACTGGTTGAACACAGTTGTCCATTCTGTCTCCAGGCTGTGTCTTTGCCTCTTGATTTACGGTGTACACATATATTTCCAACTGTATATAGTGTACATACTTGTAAATACTTATAATCACACTTGAAGGAAAATATAATTTGAAGTCATTCAGCTGTGTATGTTCTGCTCCTTGCTCCCCTTGACACCCAGGATAACAGGCCTTTTTGCTCCTGGGTTGTAGTAAAATATGTATTTGTTTAATTTTTTCTCTGCTTACACAATTAATTTTCATCTCACTTGCTATGGCATTACTCTAGCAATGACTAATGACTGGTCCTTATCTGGGTCTTGACATAAAAGCAGATGACAAAATCATACACTAAACATTTCAACTACCTTTCAAGTCCTTATTTAAGGCTTAAAAGGTAGTTGAAATGTTTAGGGTATGATTTTGCATGAGATCATCTCAAAGAGAGCTACTAAAGGCAGCAAAGACATCAGAGATAAATTGAGTAGGTTGAATAGAACTGGCAACTTAACCCTTTCAGGGTTTCGTCCATACTAGTATGGCTTATAAGAACATAAGAACATAAGAACGAAGGAACACTGCAGAAGGCCTACTGGCCCATGCGAGGCAGGTCCAAGTCTCCTACCGGCTTAAGCCAATGCACCCAACCTAGTCAGGTCAGGTCACATTGACTTAAGGGAGGAACACGGCAACCGACCTGTTAGCACAAGCTATCAGGTCTAACTCACACCCACCCACATCTACTCATGTATTTATCCAACCTATTTTTAAAGCTACACAACGTTCTGGCCTCTATAACGGTACTTGGGAGTTTGTTCCACTCATCCACAACTCTATTACCAAACAGTACTTTCCTATATCCTTCCTGAATCTGAATTTTTCCAACTTAAAACCATTGCTGCGAGTCCTGTCTAGGCTAGATATTTTCAGCACACTATTTACATCCCCTTTATTTATTCCTGTCTTCCACTTATACACCTCAATCATATCCCCCCTAATTCTACGTCTTTCTAGAGAGTGCAGTTTCGGGCCTTAGTCTATCCTCTTTGGGAAGGTTTCTGATACATGGGATCATCTTTGTCATCCTCCTTTTTTACATTTTCCAGAGAATTTATATCCATTCTGTAATACGGTGACCAAAACTGTGCAGCATAATCTAAATGAGGCCTAACCCAAGGATGTATAGAGTTGAAGAACAACCTGAGGACTCCTATTATTTATGCTTCTTGATATGAAGCCAAGGATTCTTTTTAGTTTTATTGCGAAACTTATGCACTGTTGTCTTGTTTCAGATTACTGCTAACCAGAACTCCTAAATCTTTTTCGCAATCCGTAATATTAAGATCTACATTTTTTTAGTTTATTTTTTGGCATGGGTTTTTGTCCTGTCCAACATTTAGAACTTTGCATTTGTCTATATTAAAAATGCATCTGCCACTTCTCCGACCACTGCATCAGTCTATTCAAATCTTCCTGGAGTGCTCGAATGTCCTCGTCAGAATGAATTCGACGGCCTATTTTGGTGTCATCGGCAAACTTGCCGATGTCGCTCTTTATGGCCCTCATCTATGTCGTTTTTGTAGATTGTGAACAGCAGGGGGCCCAACATGACCCCTGTGGACACCGCTCGTGACGCTACCCCACTTGATTTCTCCCCATTTATGCAAATCTCTCTGCTGCCTATTTGTCAACATGCCTCTATCAGGGAAAAAAATTTCTCCTCCTATTCCTGTGCTTTAATTTTCCTCAATTGTCTCTTTATGTGGGTACCCTGTCAAAAGCCTTACTGAAGTCAATACACAATATTCATATTCATTACCATGTTTCCTCCTCAAATACCTTAGTGAAAAAAGTTAATAAATTCGTAAAGGGAGGAACGCCCCCTTTGTAAAACCCTGCTGAGATTCGTTGATTAATTTATGCTTTTCAAGGTGGCTACGAAACTGCCTCGGCAATTATTGATTCCATAAATTTTCCCCCCTATGGAGGTTAGGCTTATTGGTCTATAGTTCGAGCTAAGGACCTGTCACCTGTTTTGAAAATAGGTATCACATTTGCCATTTTCACTTATCTGGCACCATGCCAGTTTGTAGTGATATGTTGAAAAAATTAGCCAAAGGTGTGTAAGCTCCTCTTTACATTCCTTTAGACCCTTGCTACAGTTCATCAGGGCCTGGGGATTTGTTTTGGTTTTAATTTATCTATTTGCCCAAGGACCATGTCACTTGTGACCCTAATAGTGCACAGTTTATTATCGTCCTGTTCTACATAATTTATCATTACTGGAATATCGCTGGTATCCTCCTGTGTAAAAACTGAGAGGAAGTATGTGTTTAAAAATTCTACACATTTCCTTACCCACTGTCAGTGAGCTGACCCGAGGAACTTTTGAGTGGGCCTATCTTGCCCCTGATCTTACTTCTGTATACCTGAAAGAATCCTTTTGGTTAGTCTTCGATTCTCTTGAAAATTTAACCTCATAATCTCTTTTTGTTTTTTCAATTCCCTTTTTTATTTCTCTCTTTAACTGAATATATCGATTTCTTAATTGCCCCTTCCTCTTTTGATTTTGCCTATATATGCCCTCTTTTGCCCAAATTCAGAATTTTAATCTATTGTTCATCCATTTAGGATCAATTTTTGTTTGATTGATTTCCCTATTTGGAACAAAATTTGACTGAGAAAGCTAGAACTATGCCCTGGAAAGCATCATATCGGCAACCATCACCACCTACCTGACCCTTAGTCAGGTCATTCCAGTTCAGCCCACCTAAGTAATTTTTCAGTCCTATGAATCAGCCAAGCGAAGTCAGGGGACCGGAGACTTGATTGGCCATTATTAGGGGAAATTCCATGATATTATTAAAACTGAGTGATTTGTGATCACTCTCCCAAGCTCATCAATTTAACCTCAAGATTATTAATTAGTGTTTCCCTACGGCAAGAACCAAGTCAAGGAGGTTATTTCCCCTAGTTGGCTCTGTCACAAACTGTTTTAAAAAAACAATCCTGGATCGTATCAAGAAAGTCACCCGACTCTAAATTTCCTGTCAAATTGCTCCAGTCAATCTGTCTATAGTTGAAATCTCCCATTAGCACAACATTTTCGTATGTAGGTGCCTTACGAATTTCGTCCCATAGATTTTACTGCACCCCTATCAAGATTTGGGGCCCGTAAATCACACCCAAAAATTAGTTTTTCTCGGCCCTCGAGAAGCTGTAACCAAACAGATTCAGTGGCTGACGCTTCTAATTTAAATCTTGTTAACACAACAATTTAAATTGTCTCTGACATACATCGCTACTCCACCACCTTTCTGTTGACCCTGTCAGTGTGGAATAATTTATAGCCTTGTATTTTGACATTCAGAGGGGATCTCTCTATCTTTCAGATTGAGCCCGGTCTCGTTATAGCAATAATATCTATGTTTCCTGCACTTGCATTAATCTTAGCTCATCTATCTTATTTCTAACACTCCTGCTATTAGTAAGTAAAACCTTAAGGGAGCTAGTCCCTTGCTGCCCTCTGCTGTCCCCCTTTGTTTTCTGACCTGTTCTTTGTCTTTATTTATATCTTCATGCGAATGCCCTTTTTTACATTTACTGTTTTCCCAAACCCTAGTGTTGCAAACCCGCTTGTTTCCCACACACACCCATACCTCTATCTTCCATCAGTTTAAAATCAAGGCATTTCACCAATGGCCTTCTCAATCGAGTCTGCAAGTGCTACCACCCTGCCCAGAGAGATGTACCCCATCCCTTGCATACATATCATGTTTGCCATAAAAGTTGTTCCAGTTGTCAATTTAAGGATTGCAAGTTCCTTGCAGTATCTGTCTAGCCAGCAATTTACACACAAATTTCCCTAGACAACCATTCATTTCCTAACTCCCCTTCTAGGCAAGATGCTACATATGATTGGGGTCCCTCCCTTAGACTTAATTTAAATCTTAGCTGACCTGTACTTATCTAGCAGCTCTTCTCTCCTACCCTTCCCAATATCATTTCCACCAGGGACTGGGGAAGATAATGGGCTTGTTTCCCCTTTTCCTGACATGATATTATCCAGCCTGTTGACAATGTCCCCAACACCAGTCCCCGGGAAGCACACTCTATCTTTTCACTTCTTATTCCTATTACAAAAAGCACGGTCAATATATCTTAACTGAGAGTCACCACCACAAAATGCGCTTACCTTCTTAGCAGGGGCAGTATACCATTTCCTCACTGGCCACTGAAAATACATTCTCTGGAGAACAGAGAACGATTTCCTACCTCAATCTTCACTCTAACTTTCTTACCCCTATGCGGGCCCCCATTACTGTGAACCACTCGCCCTTGTAGCAGTGCTGGGCTGCACCTCACTGTGTAGCCGTTGCTACCTCCCCAACTACGCCCCCTCACAGCAAGAGACAGCTGCACCTCACTGCTAATCTCATTCCCCCACCACCCAGCCACCTCACACTCTTCCCAGACCATTGAGTGGACCTTCAGCCTCCAATCTCCTCCTGGAAACAAGACCCCCTCCTTCCACTCCACCTCAGTTTTTAAAACACTGCAAAGCAAGCCATGCTTTTAACCGTCCAAAGCAATCCCCAAAGCAGCTCAGGTCTGTGACCTCACGTGACGGACTGACCACTGCCAGGTTTTTGGGCGACTAGTACGCCTAAATTCTAGCGCCCTCAAATTTTAGTAGAGAAGCTGGTAGGCCCACATATGAAAAAATGGTCTATGTGGGCAGTGTGCGTGTATAAAAAAAATCCCGCAGGGACACAGTGCGTAATGAGAAAAAAAAACTTTGACCGTGTTTTTGGATTAAAACAGTGACTTTGCACTGTATTTTTGTATGGTATTTATTGTTGTATTCTAGTTTTCCTGGTCTCATTTTATAGAATGGAAGACATATTACAGAAACTGAGATGATTTTGACTGGTTTTACAAAGAAAAGTACCTTGAAATTGAGTTCAAAGTAGCAGATATGTTCAATTTTTACCAAAGTTCAAAAGTAAGCAAATCCTGCTATGCGTCCAATACACGTCAACTGGTGAGTCTAATATTCTTTCACAAATGCGCTGATATTATTTATACCATTTCTACTCTAATCCAGTAGTCTGCATAACAGTAAATCTTCTATTTTTTTGTGAGAATAAAAATTCAAAGTGGAAAGCAAAATAATGTAAGAGGGGCATGGGGACGTGACTAATGAACAGAGGAAATGTTATTTTAGTGCCAGGAATGTCTTTCTTGTTTATTCTGGACCCTATTCAGAAATTGACATCTTTTGAAATTTGTGTGAAATTGGCAAAATTGCTAAATTCTGACCACTGTATTGGATAGTTGAAATCAGTAAATGGGTGGTTTCTTGTACTCATTCGATAGAAAAAATGGAGTTCTAGCGAAATAGTTATGATTTTTGTTGACAAGTACACTGGAATGGGCCGAAAATAGGGCTCAAAGTGGGCAAAATTGCCCACTTTGAGTCCTATTTTCGGCCAATGCGACGATGCGTAAACATCGTTGAGACCGCTAAGTTGGCAAGAGCATAATTCCGTAAGTTTTCCATCAAATTTCATACTTTTGGTGTCATTATGATCGGGAAAAGATTCTCTTCTTTTCACAAGAAAAAATAATTTTTTTTTTTTGAAATTTGGCCGACCCTGAGAACAAGTCTCTGAGAGGGCCTGTCGACCCTGAAAGGGTTAAAGTCTATGAATACATCAACTTCACTGGTGTGTGGTGAAGTTAGTATGGTCATGAAGTTGGTATAGTTATGCCCATGCATTTACAAGGTGACAAGTTTTGTCCCAAGTGCTCCTTCTGGAAACTGTTATTCTTAAGGTAGGTGAGATTCTCATTTCATAAGATACAGCTAGATAACAATTGTATAAGAAGTAATAAAACTGTCAGGAATGCATATATCGAGTTAGCCCAATCACTGATTCGCTGGAAATTTCTGAATTTTTTTTTTTAAAGGGGAGCAGTGTGATATGTAACAAATCTTACTCATTAATTTTTTAACACACCAACCATCTTGCACCAAGGTAGGATGACCCAAAATAAAGAGGAAACACATTCAGTGTCATTCACTCAATTACTGTCTAACTAAAAATGTGCTGACATCACAATTCAGATGACTCTCCAAATTGTAAGATCCAACCAATTATAATATCTAAGGTATTATAATCTATTCCTCAGAATATTTATACACGGAGTAGAGAATTTCTAAATATTATACTGTACTAAAAATATAACTGCATATGCAGTAACTGAAAATGTTACACTTACCCCAAGTCCTGGCAGTCGTGGGAATCTTGGAGTTCTTCAGGTGGTTCTGACGTGACTGTAAACTTTATGATCCCTCGATTTTTCATCAGGTCAACCAAAGCTTGCTCACGTTCAGGGTGTTGCTCTTGGTCAATAATGAATTCTTAAAACCCAATGAAAAGAAACCATCAGGACAAATGAAAATAAACACAATTTCAACTTTAAAATGTTATAAAGCTGTATCTTGATGAGAAAAATATTAAAATTAGTGAAGGAATGAAACTGAACAAAATATAGTAATAATTTTTTTATTTTATCCCCCCAAGTAAGTTAGTTGATCTTAGACTGACACGAATGCAAAGATGTCAGTAGCAGGTGGTTGTGTTGGATTGCTCAAGTACTCTGTAATGTATCTCTGATCAGTTTTAACCTACAGCACTGATCTCTTTGACATTATTTTCACCAGGTCACAATCTGCACTACTTATTACACAAACTATTATTTTTTTCTCAAGGTTTCTAATTGTATGGATGATGGATTCTCTCAGGCCACATCTAAAATAAACACTTTCTTCAGTACCATGAGAGATTCATGCCTTATGCTTTTTTGGGACACCTCCAGCATCTCTAGTAACATGTATTGTCCCATTAGATTTATAAAGTAATTTCAGTAACTTGCTGTAATTTCAGTATCTCTATTGAATCATGCCATAAAACTGAAAATCAGTGAACGAGTTTAAATAATATGTAAATGTTTTGTAACTGGCTATTTTGTCATTAGCAACATTTCTTACTGAATGTATGATTGTATTTAACACAAAAGAAGTCTTCAAAAGGGAATGTTTTGTTCTTCATAGTGAAAAGTCTTATGTTTAGTTCCCCAAAAATGCAAGCATAATTATGGCTTCTTTTGTGCTATTTTTACCATGCTCACTTTATCTGTATCTCAGAGCAAAAAAGCATTACATTTCATTTGGGTCCCCAAAATTAATATAAAAAGAAAAGATGGGGTGTGAAAAATGGCCAAAACTTTTAAAATAAATCCCCAAAATACTTTGGAAAAAAACTAAGGCGGGTGGGTGAGGGGAGACTGGGCCTTTTAAAAAAGGGCCCAACCGGGGTACGAGGGAAAAATTTCATGATGCAAATTCCAAGTTTTGGGGAAACTTGATATTTCCCCCCTTTGGACTCCCTCACTCCCTAATTTTCTGTGTTATAAAAAAAAGGATTCCCTTTTAAAAAAACAATTTAGACAAAGTCACTTTGTGTAGTGTTGCTTTAAAAAGGGGGTTTTCGTATATGGCTATTGTGTCCCTCTTTTCTTTTTATCAGAAAATGAGAAAATGTATAAAGCTTTCAGATTTTTTCACAATTCAAAGGTCTGGTCAGCCAGGCTGTGATATAAGCCTGCAGGACACTAGCAGCAACAGCTAGTTGTCAAGTAGTCAGAAAGGGAAATCTACTTCAGGTTAGCCATGAGAGTAAAACCCCTTTGAAATGGTCACAGTTTGTTTTTTCTCAGTGTTTCTCTCCGAGCCTTTATTTTTTTAAAACACATCTTGCCCATACAGTGGAGTCAGGGTTTTTCTCTGCACCGGGTATTGTACGATTTGGATTTTGACCAATTTTTTCGGCAAAATTTTGCTCCAGATTTCGTACTTGTCCCAAAAATCATCCGTACAGACCCCATGCCCACCCAGGATCCCGCCATCAGGGGTTACATGTCTCGCTGGCTCTGTCACTGGGGGGTTGAGATTCACCAAAACATTTCGAAATAATCCATTGTTTTTTGTCCCTGTTTTTTGAAGCTACTGTGAAAAGCCACCAGGGGCCCAAAAAAATTTCCCCATCCACCCTTTTTGGGTAAAAAAGGTGAGAAACACAACAGAATTAAGAAAATTGTAGAAAAATCGAAAGTGAAGTACTGGGGCTTACCCCCACCAAATTATGGCAAGTCCAAATCAAAATCATTCCATCCTGGGAAAGAAGTAGAAATCAAGGAAGCTGATGTTGGAAAGGGTAAATATGGTAACAAAACAAGATCACAAACAGGTTAAGGACTTTGTGCAAAGTGGAATGGGGTAAAACTTTTGTGGAAAAATATCCCCCTGACCAAGCTATAAAAAGCCAACCTGCAACATGTTAAATGACAATACCCGTCCCAATTTTAGGAAAATTTTTAAAAGACCCCAGAAAAGAGCTCTCTGGACAGTTTTTTTAGTAGAAGGGGTAAAAATGCCATAAAAACAAAAAGGGAAGTAAACCCGGGATAGGGTTTTGATATGAAGTCCTTATGGGGGGGATTCCCCTTCAAAACAGTAACCTTGCTCCCTCTCTCTCTCCTCCATACCCCAACAAAGTTTTCAATAAAGGAAAAGTGTGATGTTAAAATTTTTCATTTATCCATTTCATTAGTCATTTACATTTCTTTTACTGTTTTCTGCATGAAAAACTATGTTCTTTAAAAAAGTATTTTCGTTAATATTTCTGGTGCCTGGAACGGATAAAATTTTTTTTCATTATTTCTTATGGGAAAATTGCATCGGTTTTGTCCGTTTCGGTTTAGATCGACCTTCTGGAAGGGGATTAAGGACAAACGGGGGTTTCCCCCCATTGTATTACTTTTTTCATTGCACTTTTTGGGACTTTCCACTTTAATTTTCCATCATTCAATTTCCACTCCATTTTTTTTTCTAATCGGTTTTTCCTGGGGAAAATGCTTTTTTTTAACTGCTGGCCATTCCCATGAGGAAGGGTGACCCAAAAAAAAAAAAAACTTTCACCACTTTCAAACCTTCACAATCACTCTACAAAAACACTGCTTTGCAGAGGTGCTCAGATCGACGTTTAGAATCCCCCTCCAAACTCCCAATACCTAAACCCCTCTTTTAAAACTGCAAGCACTGTATTTCCCTATTTCCGGGGCTCAAGCGGCTAATGGTTTCTCTGAATCCCCCTTCACAAACTATTATCCTCCACACTTCAACGTCGTCGTCCCCAAAAAACCTTCATCTCCATTTACTCCTAACGTGCTCACGCACTGCCCCGCGGGAAATCCAAACCCTTTTCCCCACAAAAACCCATTTACCCCCCCCCTCCAACCCATAATTTTTTACCCTCCAAGTCATTCACTTTGTTCCTTCACTCTAAATGACCAAACCCCCAAAGCCCTCTGCTAATACTTTTGTAACCCAACCTAATTCCCCCACTATGAATTCTCTGCATAATATTACACCCACATTTCCCTTAATATAACATCTCCACTGCCCCCAGCCCCCTCCTCACTGCAGCTTTTTCAACCCCGCTTCACACCTGTAAAGAGGTTTTGGGACCCTACACTCCTGAAAAAAAAAAAATTCCCCTTTTTTTTGCCTCCGGGTAACGTTTTTTGTCTCAACAGAACCCAAGCACCACTCACCTTTTTCCTTCAGAATTCTATGGGGTTTTTCTTCCTTCATAATTCCCTCCCGACAAGTCAAATCCCAAATAACTAAAAAAAATTCACTTCTTCCTACCCCTCCCTCAATGTGATACCAATTTTTTTTTTATAAAACGTTTGATACCCCTCATCTTACTCTTATCAACTTTCTACCTTAACACCCTCCCAAACTTGTCCACTAACCCTTTGCAACTTTTTTTTAGAATTCCCAAAAGCACAGTATCATAGCAAAAAAATAACGTTCAACTCCCCTTTGCATTTAATTTTCCCCTAATTTTAATCCCATTTTCTCCCAAACACCCTGCATTTACTTCTTTTATAACCCATCTATAAAAGTGTTAAAAAAACCTGGTGACATTACACATCCCGCTAAACCCTTTTTTCTGAGAAGAATCTCCCCCTCTCCTAACCCCTAACCTGAGCCTAATCCTCTAAAAACCCTTTATAGCTTTTTGTAACTTATACCCTTTTATACCTTTCAACTCTGCCCATTGCTCCCCCATCCACTCTATATATGCCCTTTTTTAAATCTATAAATGGTTGGGAAACTTCCCAACCTTTTCTAAATACGTTATATTATCCAATAAAACAAACCCGATCTACACACCCTACCCATTTTAAAAACCCCTTTTTTCTTTTTTAATCCTGCTTTTTATCTTACCCAATTCTTTCAAAATCCCCTACCAACATTTTACCTTATACTCAGTAATTATTCCCCTTAAAACTGCAATTTTTTTGTCCCCTTTCCTTTTATATAAAAGGGAAATTTTAAAAGATCTTTGCCAATCCCTAGGACCTTGCCCTCTTTTTTACATTTTTTTAATTATTTTTATTATTATTAAATCAAAAAGAAGCCTAAACCACAAGACTAACGCATACATTTATTAAAAAAAAACCAACCACTCCAGCACTGTATTTCCCCCCCGCTTTTTTTATTTTTGTCTGATCCATTGGTTCCAGCTCTTTTTTCCCCCTTTTCATTCTACAATCCTCATGCACCCCTGCCACACTACTCCTGCTCTCCTCACTCCTAAAAAAGGGGTTATAACTCCCCCGGGCCCTTATGAAATTCTGCTTCCTTTTCTTCATCGACTTTAAAACCCAAAAATGCCAAAATAGATCTATGTTTGCAGCGTAGTGCTCCCAAAAGTGATAACTTTTATTTTCATTCTTCAAATTTGGCACAATAGGCTTGAGTCCCTAGACACAAAGAATGGGTCTGTGCACTCGGGTGCACAGATATAAAAATCTGGGGGGCACTTAGTACCTTTGGGGCACCAGTTCAATGAGCGCCAGTGGGGCAAATACGTGGCAAACACCCGGATTTTTACTGATGCCAGTCCATTAACACTCCATTTTAAAAGGCGTAAAAAAAAGGTTAATAAATCACCCCATGCTTACGCCCTTTCGACATAAAGTCCACTTGACTTTTGACCGTGCATCGGACTGGGGGGTGGGCTGGCTGTGCACCCATGACAAATTTTTTACAATACCCGCGGGGGGAAAGTGTCGCAGGCAGCATCATTTGGTAACCCTCCTTAGCAGCATCATAAGTATTTTCGTACTAACTGGACATAAATTTCACCATGGCCCCTAAGACGAAGTCTGAATCTTGCACTGGAGATTGTGGCAAGAAAGGCTCTTACTCTCGAACTCTCTATTTGTTTTCACTGTTGCACATAAACCTGTCTGTATCTGTCTGTCTGTATCTCTGTGTGTCTGTTT